CACACCTTCGGGCTGGCCTTCAGCCGTCAGCCACGCGCCGGATAACGAGTCCGGGCGCGTCCCCAGTGGAGGCCGCCCTCAGCGCGAGCTTGGCGGCGGCGGTTGCCTTGCTGGGCACAGGCCGACAGCTGGCGCATATCTGCCCGCGGCATGGTCGCGCGGCGTTTCTTGGCGGCGCATCAAAGGGAGTAGGGGTAGGGGGGAGGCTTCTTTGAAGCACCCCTGTTCGTAGAAGCGCTGGCGCTCCCTTCTAAGAAGCGCGCGGTTGCTTCTCAGAAGCTGTTCCTGGCGTGCTTCTAAGAAGCGGATGGCTTGCTTCTAAGAAGCTGCTTCTGTTTCTAAGAAGCTATTCCGTGCTTCTCAGAAGCCGTTGGGGCGTTTCTAAAAAGCGCCGCGCCCTGGGCTTGCGGCCGGCCTCTTCTAAGAGGCAGCCCCGTTCTAAGAAGTCCCCCCCCTCCCCCATACCCCATTTTCAACGCAAGTTTTTGCCCCCTTCGGATGTCCGCAGAAATCGCGCGGCCGCGCGGGCAACCGCAGGCGATTCGCGCCTACTCGCTTGTACACCCGTTCCTTCAGCTGCTCCTGGCGAGCTTCGCCGGCCGGCCGCAGCTTGAGCGGGCTTTGGGCGCGGCTCGCTACCTGGGGGTTGGTGAATAAGGAAGGGGAACATTGATCACCCGAAGCACTCACGGCCCCCCTTCATTATTCCACAAGACCCAAGGACCTTCTGGTGCTCAGTGTTCTTGTTGAGCCCCTTCAGGCGCGGCCTGCGCAGGCCGAGCCGGCCGTGGCGCTCGGGGGCGCACACTTTGCGGTGGCGCCCTCCCTTGCGCGCCTGCGCCCCCAGCTCGGCAGGCGCCCGCCGGGCGCAGCATGCATGGCACCACGTGGAAGGTCGCCCCATCCCTGGGCGACCCACGCGTGCCTGAAGCCAAAGGCTTCGTAGCAATAACTAAATAAAATGCGCGTGATGATCATCCTCCGCCTCCCCATCCTCCTCCTCCGCCTCCTCCGCCTCCTGCCAGCCCCAAGTTTGATTGGAGAGTCGAGGCGAGAAGGTTAGGACGAGGAGGGCAGGATTGAGGAGGACGACTCAAAAGTTCCGCCGATCCGAGGGCCGGCGGAGGAAGATTGAAAAGAAAGGTTGAGGAAGGAACTACATAATGAGGTTGAGCAGGAGGATCGAGGAGATTGCCTCCTCCTCCCCCTCCTCCTCCCCCTCCTGTTCCTCCTCCCTCCCTCCCCTCGTCTTCCGCTCACTTTCCCCGCCTCCTAGCAACCCCAAGTTGAATAAGAAAGCCGAGGGGACCACTGAACATCTCTCGAGTAAGCCGTGCACTCCGTGGCACTAGGCGGCAGGGACTAGACTGCGGCTTCATTTACAGCAATATCTAATATCTACAAAAGCACTTCTAACACCGCGCAGACCGCTCAACCTCGAGCGACCGGCGGCTTTCCGATCGCCAGATCGTTCCATGCGGTATGCGGACCGATTCCAGGCTCTGACGGCGTTCAGCCTTGAACGCCCGCGGCAGGGTTACCAGCAGGCAATGCAATGCGATTTCAATACAATGCAACGCAATGCGATTGCAACGATTGCATCGAATCCTTTTAGAAACCTGCACATGAAATTCTGCTTGCAAACGAAATCCCATTGTAAGGGAACGAAAACTTTAATACATGTGTATGTATATATATGTGTGCGTATGTATATATATATATATATAGACATTTCAAATATATTTGCTTCATGAAAAAAATTATCCCGAAGAAATTCTCCTTCCCAAATCACAAGGTTTGGCAATGCCACCGCCTCAAAAACTTATGTTCTCACACGGAAAATTGGTCGGATGGTGCCAAAACTTGAAAACATATGTTGTTTTAGCGCTCGCCTCCCAAAACCTTGTGTTTTCATCCGGAAAACCTATCTGGCGGCGCCAAAACATATTTAAACACAAGTTTTGTTAGCCGTTGCCTCCCAAAGCTTTGTGTTTTCACCCGGAAAGTTAGTTTGGCGGCACCAAAAGTTATTTTTTATATAAAGAATATTCTGACATCCCAAAGCTTTGCGTTTTCACCAGCGAAATTGGTCGGACGGTGGCAAAACATGTAAAAACACAAGTTTTCCTTTGGTTAGAGCCACGAAATTTGTGAGACATCCAAAAAATGAGACAAAAAAAATCAAAGGTGTTCGGGCCTCGCACTCCTGGCGGGCCTTGTGTTTTCACAGGGTAATTCGTCAGATGGTGCCAAATCCTGTAAAAAACACCAGCTTCTTTTACTTGGAGCCACGAAATTTGTGACACATCAAGAAAGTGACAGATCCAGAAATCCAAAAATCTAAGGTTTTCGGGCCTCGCACTCCTGGCGGGCCTTCTGTTTTCAGAAGGTAACGCATTGGAGCTTGCCAAAACTTGTAAAAACACAGGTCTTCCTTTCCTTAGAGCCACGAAACCCGTGAGACATCCAAAACCCCCCCCAAAAAAAAAACAAAAACAAAAAAACATTTGACATACCCCCAAAAAAAAAACAAAAATCAAAGGGTTTCGGATTCCCGCCCATCCCGGCTCCAGACCCCAGGAGGGCCCGCCAGGAGTGTGAGGCCCGAAAACATTTGATTGTTTTGTGTTTTGGATGTCTCACATGTGTTTTTCCTGTGTTTGATGTTTTTGTTTGTTTTTGGGGATGTCTCACAGGTTTCGTGGCTTTAAGTAAAGGAATACATATGTTTTTACAGGTTGTGGCACCATCCAATGGATTACCTTCTGAAAACACCAGGCCCGCCAGGAGTGCGAGGCCCGAAAACCTTTGATTTCTGGTTGTTTGGATATGTCACATGCGTTTTTTGATTTTGTTTTGATTTTTGGTGATTTTTTGATGTCTCACAGGTTCCGCGGCTCTAAAGAAAACATGTGTTTTTACATGTTGTGGCACCATCTGACGAATTACCTTCTGAAAACACCAGGCCCGCCAGGAGTGCGAGACCCGAAAACCTTTGACTTTTTGTTGTTTGTATATGTCACAAGGTTTTTGTGGTTGTTTGCTTGATTGTTTTAGTATTTTTGGATGTGTCACAGGTTTCGTGGCTCTAAGTACAGGAAAACTTGTGTTCGTACATGTTTTATGGCCCCATATTGATGAAACCTGTGACTCTCATTGAACAACAAATACAGGGTTTTAAAGTCAACAAATATTCATTGCAACTTCTCTGTATTTCCTCTCTCCTCTCTCTCTCTCTCTTTCTCTCCCTCTCCCTCTCTCTCCCCCTCCTTCCCTTTCGTCGTTCTCCCCTCCACGGGGCCCCTGTCTTATTGCTTTTGAGTGTACGGTTTCCTTATTGTTCTTGATTGTGATGCTATCGATTGCAAACGTTCTTGCAACAACATAGGATCAACATCTACATCAACATACGAACGAACTCTTTCGTTTCAAGCTCTCGGGCTTGTTTTGTGAAGGTGGAGTCCCCCAGGGGGGGCTACCAAATACATAAAAGCATACATACATACATACATACATACATACATACATACATACATACATATGTATGCATGCATGTCTGTCTGTCTGTCTGTCTGTCTGTCTGTCTGTCTGTCTGTCTGTATGTATGTATGTATATATGTATGTATGTATGTATGTATGTATGTATGTATGTATGTATGTATGTATGTATGTATGTGTGTGCGTACTCGTGTATAATGCGTGGTGCAAGATAGAGGCGGCCACGGGCGGCAACGTTGCAAATCCTCGCCGGACCCGTGCAAGCTGTATAGTGCAAGTTATGTGGTGGAAGTTCCGTAGTGCATTCGACTTGGTGCACGATATGCGGTGCAAGCTCTGTGGTGCAAGATGTGCGATGCAAGCTACGTTGGGCGGTCACGGGGCGGCCACCAAGAATGATCTTCGGGTTGCTTGCCCAACTCCTCAGCACAACGAGAAAAAACCTTTCAGTGGAAGCATTGTTTGGGGAATGTGATGGAGATAGATAGAAACAAGTTGCAAGTGGCGTTTGAAGTTGCTGCCCACACTGGTGCAACCCAGGCCGACACGTTGGCGAGCTTGCGGCACTCGAATAGGCCATGCACTGTAATGTGCGGAGCCGTCGCTTGTTTTCGTGTCCGATCTTGCGAGCTCACTCTGTCTTTCTCCCTGTCCTCCTCCTTCGAGCTCACTCTGTCTTTCTCCCTGTCTTTCTACTTGTCTTCCTCCTTCGAGCTAATGGGTGTTCTCCGTGGCAGCATGATTGCCGCAAAGCGAGGCGAAGAGTTCGACAGGGGGGTTGAGCAACGGCTCGATGGGCCCCACCCCGGGCTGAAGGGCACGAGGCCCGAAGCATTCCTCCTCCACTCTGACGGCCCCTAATAACTGCGGCCCTCGGCGGCCCTCGGCAGCCCTCGGCGGTCCTCCGCTGCCGTCGGTGGCCTTCCGCGGCCCAGGGCGGCCGACTGCGGCCTCTGGCGGCCCTCTTGGCGGCCATCGGCGGCCCGAACCTCCAGGCTCGGCGGGTCAACAATGTGGTCCCGAGGGGTCGGATCCTAAGGACGATCGTTGGCGGGCGAGGAGGTGAAGTGAGAAGGAGAAGGCCTTTTCGGAAGGCGGCGGGCCTTCTCGGAAGCCCTCGCGCCTTCTGAGAGGTTTTGTGTGTCTTCGGGGGAGGCCTAGAAAACTTCTCAGAAGGCCGGGTAACATCCGAGCCTTCTGAGAAGGCCCGCCCCTTCTCACTTCCTTTCCGGGCTCGCCGCCGACATAAGTCCACCCTTGGATCCCTCCCTATCCTTACGTAGGTCCCCATCCCTCAGGACGCCATGTTTGGACCACCTCCAGGCCAGCCACAACAGAGCATTTCCGCTGCGATGATGGCCCTTCAGGGGCAGCGGATCGTTCGGTGTCCGCCTCCAACTTTCCCTCCCAGGCAAGAAATATGTTTGAACCACCTCCAGGCCGAGAAGGTGTTCGCCTCCACCTTCTCCCTCCAAAACAAAAACTCTGCGAGCCACCTCCAGGTCGAGAAGAGGAACGTCCAGCGCGTCGTGCTGAAGGTGCCCCCGCGGCGGCCTCCGCGGAGTGTACCTCCGGGATGTCTCCCGCGCCCGCTGCTCGCGGCCCCGCTCCTCTTGGGCCCTCCTCCTGCCTGCGGAGAGGGCGGCAGGGAGGACGGTCCGGGAAGGACGGCGGAGGGACGAGGCGAGGAGGGGGGGGGGAGGGGGGGGGAGGGGGGAGGAGAGGGGAGGAGGGGGGAGGAGGGGGAGGGGGAGGAGGGGGGGGGGAAGGGGGAGGGCGGAGGAGGGAGGAGGACGGGGGAAGAGGAGGAGGGAGGAGCGAGAAGGGAGGAGGAGAAAGGAGGAGGGAGGAGGAGGAGGAGGAGGAGGAGCAGCAGCAGCAGCAGCAGGAGGGAGGAGGAGGGTTTGGGGGATTGCGAGGCTGCTGGAGCTGAAGGCATGTCAGCAAAGTGGCTGCGCTGCAGCTGTCATAATATTTATCCCAACCAAAAGTTCCGAGCGGGCACCAAGAAAGCAAGTACAGTACAGTATGACGGCACGGAAGGAGAGCAATAGCAGCGCAATGCAGGGGAGTCTTGCTGGCCCCCTGTGGGTCGCCCTGGCCACGCAGGCGCCAGAACCGTCGGAGACAGGACACCTAGTCCACTCTGCCGAATCAAGTGTCAGCCCGGCTGGCCTGGAGAGATGGAATATCGTCACGCCCAAGCACGGCACGAGCGACGAGACGGCGGAGGAGGCAGAGCGCAATAATCGTCACATCTCATCACCCTGGGCACGAGGACGGTCTGCGGCCAGCCGAAGAGGGGCCTGAGCCAGCGCTGCGGACATATCTAACACCGCGGTCAGCGCCAAGAAGAGTTCTGCAAACAGCTCCTCCTCCTCCTCCTCCTCCTCCTCCTCCTCCTCCTCCTCCTCCTCCTCCTCCTCCTCCTCCCCCTCCTCCTCCTAGACGCAGACAGCGTGCTTTAGGACGCACCGCGTAGGGGCGGGGGAGGCTGGGCGAGCACACCTGTGGTGCAGGCAGCCTTCTAAAAAAACTTCGCAAAGGATGCGAAGGGGAGAGGAGCGAGGACGCCGGGGAGGCGAGGAGTGCCGACTACCTGTGGAACTCAGCGCCTGGCCCCGGCCCTCAGAAGTGATGGCGTGGGAGCACTCGCGTACGTAATGGGCGGCGGGGGGCGGAGCAGCAGGCCAGACCTGCAGATTACCCTGTGCAGCTCCGCGAGGGACGCCACAGCGTCGACGGGGTCGGTGAGCTGGTCGATGCGGGAGTCTATGTGCTGGTCGGAGCGGGAGTCGGGAGCCGCTTGGTCCAGACCTCCCGGGGGCGGGGTCGGTGAGCTGGTCGATGCGGGAATCGATGTGCTCATGCGACCACGCTGCTGGCGTCCGTGCCGGCGCCGGCGACGGTCAGGATGCGGCCGGCGACGATGCCGGAGACGGTGCCAGAGCGACGGATCCTGGGGTCGGTCGGCCGGCAGGGGCGCCTCCTGCAAAGACGCGTCTGCTGAAGCATGAGCAGGTTAGCTCCGGGCTGTCCCCATCGTGGTGTCGATTTGTTGCGCTCACTGGCGCGGACCGATCGCGCCCCCCCTCTGAGGCGAACGACGCAGAGAAACGTTCCATGGACACAGGGGCGTTGTTAACAGAGTGGCCCCCCTCCCACATGCGGGGCCCTGGCAACCGAAGTGGTGAGGAATGAAAATGCGTCTCAAACGCAACCGCCTTCGCGTCAACACATCCGCTGGTGTGCCCGCAGTGGTGAGGAATACAATGCGTCTCAAATGCAACCGCCTCTGTGTTAATAAATCCTCTGGCATGGTAGGCGGAGGACGATTCGTCCCAGACCCACCCATCCGATGTCGATGGACCCGAAAACGAAGAGATGGGAGTTGGGAGGCAAGTCGGAGCAGGAATCGGAATTGGCGAAGGCATCGGGGATGGGGTCGGAGCCAGAGCACGCGGTGGTGGGGAGTCGGAGCCGCAATCGGGGTAGTCGCTGGGGTCGTGGTTGGGGTCGGAAGGGGGGTCAAAGCTGCCGTCAGGGCCAGTGTCGAACCTGCCTGTGGAGTGGTCGTTGGCGCGGGGGTCGGAGCTGGTCGGCGCGTGAGTCGGCGAGCTGGTCGGGGAGGGAGTTGGTGAAATCCCAGAGGACCCGAGTTGCTGGAGTCGGTGCTGGAGTCGGTGCTGGTGGTGGAGTCGGTGCTGGAGTCGATGTGCTGGTCGGAGCGGGAGTCGGGAGCCGCTTGGTCCAGACCTCCCGGGGGCGGGGTCGGTGAGCTAGTCGATGCGGGAGCCGATGTGCTGGGCGGAGCGGGAGTCGGGAGCCGTTTGGTCCAGGCGTCCTGGGGACGGGGTCGGTGAGCTGGTCAACGCGGGAGTCGATGTGCTGGTCGGAGCGGGAGTCGGGAGCTGTGAATCATGTGAGACACGATAGGCGTAGTAAGCTCCAGTTTCGTCTGTGTTATCTACGCTCTCTTCCAGCCCGCGAGCTTGAGAGGACACTTCGTTGGGCACTCCCTACCAGAACTAATCATACGTGTACTTGCCGACTCGCGTGGGGCTCTCGTGCATACACCGGCGGAATACATACATCTGTCTGGTCTTGCGCACGCGCGAGTTTTTCTCCCCTCCGGCTCCTCCCCTCGTTGCCTCCTCCTTCCTCCTGTTCTGGCTGCTCTCCTCTGCTTCTGTTTCACTCTGGGGTTAGCCGGCAGTTTCCTTGCCTACCGTCCCCTGCTGCTGCGCGTTGCTTTCCGCCCGCGTCTCCTGTTGCTTCCCTCTCTGCTGTTGCTGCTGCCGTCCACGCGGCCCGATGCACTGAGTGACGCAGCGTAGCCCTGCTCACCGTGTGTCGACGGGGTGGACGCGGGATTTTGCTGTCTGGATCCCCCGCTTCCCCGCCTCGCCCTCCCTTCCTCCCCTTCTCCCTTTGGCTGGGTTTCAAGTTTGCGTGTCAGTCACGGAGCTTGGTCTCCGCTCGCGAAATCTGCATCCTCAGTGCCGTCAGTACGTGGCCAGGGAAGAGGCCCGTGGAGGGCACGGAGGACTCTGCAGAGAGAAGTCACCATGTCACGAAGTTGTCCAACTTCATCGCGAAAGGAAGGAACAAAAAACAACAACAAAAAACAAATGAGAACAAAAACAAAACAAACAAAAATAAAAAATAAAAATCTAAAAAAAAAAAAAAAAAAAAAAAAAAAAAAAAAAAAAAAAAAAAAAAAAAAAAACGTGCTTTAGGACGCAAGGCTGCCCATCGGCGTTATGCCCAGCTATGGAAACGCATTGCAGCTGTTACTGCCCCTGGTGGAGTAGGAAAATGTTTGAGGTGCTGGAATGAACTTTCCGACTGCCCATCGAGAAGTGGGGGGGTCGGAGAGTCGGGAGGTCGGCCAGTCGGGAAGTCGGCCAGTCGGGAAGTCGGGGTTTCGGTCAGGGCCGGGAAGTCGGGGAGTCGGTGTGTCGGAAAATCGGAGAGCCGGGGAGTCGGGAAGTCGGCCAGTCGGTGAGTCAGCCAGCCCGCCAGTCGGCCAGTCGGGAACTCAGTCGGGGGGTCGGCCAGTCGGTCAGTCGAGGAGTCGGGGAGTCGGGAAGTCGGGGAGTCGGGAAGTCGGAGAGTCGGGGTGTCGGGGAATCGGGGAGTCGGTCAGTCGGCCAGTCGGCCAGTCTGGGAGTCGGGGAGTCGGCCAGTCGGCCAGTCGGGGAGTCGGGGAGTCGGGGCGTTGGCCAGTTGGAGAGTCGGGGAGTCGCGTAGTCGGCCAGTCGGGGACTCGGGGAGTCGGGAGGCGGGGACTCGGGGAGTCGGCCAGCAGGGGAGTCGGCTAGTCGGGAAGTCGGCCAGTCGGGGGGTCGGGGCGTCGGCCAGTCGGCCAGTCGGGGAGTCGGGGAGTCAGAGGGGAGTCGGCCAGTCGGGGATTCGGCCAGTCGAGAAAACGGGAAGTCGGGCAGTCGGGGAGTCGGCCAGTCGGCCAGTCGGCCAGTCGGGGAGTCGGGGGGTCGCGGAGTCGGCCAGTCGGAGAGTCGGGGAGTCGGGAAATCAGAGAGCTGGGGAGTCGTGGAGTTGGGAAATCAGGGAGTCGGCCAATCGGGGAGTCGGGGAATCGGCCAGTCGGTCAGTCGGGGAGTCGGGGAATCGGCCAGTCGGGGAGCCAAGGAGTCGGAGACTCGGCCAGTCGGGGAGTCGGGGGGTCGGCCAATCGGGGAGTCGGGGAGTCGGGGAGACTGGGAGGGTCCCAGCAAGGGTCCAAGAGGTCCTTCTGGCGCACGGTCTCGCTCCCGCGCAGAGCTCGCCTGGGTTTTTTTTTGAGGCTCGTTTAGGGATTCCTTAGGGTCCTCAGACGGGCTCGCGAGGGCCTCAAGACGGCTCTGAGAGGGCCCCAAGACGGGTCCCAGAAGGTCTTTCGGCGAGCGAGGCCCACTTCTACGCATGGAGTTGGCGCTGGGCTTCCAGAGGGTCCAGGGTCTCACGCGAGGCTCCCTTGGTCTTCCTCGGGCTAGTTTGGGCTTCCCGTAGGGCCCTGGGAGGCCCAGGAGGGCTCCAAGACGGTTCCAAGAGGGTCCCAAAACGGCTTCAAGAGGGCTCCCAGAGGGGTTCAAGGAGCCCCCTGCTTGCGCGCAAGGCTCAACTCTATGCATAGAGTTGGGGCCCGCTGGCTTTTTTTGAAGTTTTCGAGGCTCATGAAGCTCTCTAGGGGGTTCCTTGGGGATCGTTCGCGTTTTTCCTAGGGCTCTCGGATGGGGCCAAGTGGGCTGCCGCTGGGTTTTCTCCCCGGGCTCTTAGGAGGGCCGCAACAGTCTGGGAGAGCAGCAAGGGAAGCCCACGAGGGTTGCCGTAGGGGGGGTCCTTCGGGCTTTCGTGCAGTTTTCTGAGATTTCCCCTGGACTTTTCTAAGGCTTTTTGGGCATGTCTGGATCAGGAACGCTTGAGATCAATTCGGCCAGGCACACTTCGGCCTGCTCAACACGGCCGGGATCAATTCGCCCAGATAACTCGGCCAGCTCAATTCGGACCTGGACGAACTCGGCCAGATTATTTCGGTCGGGACTCAACTCGGCCCAGATCGGGAGTCGGGGGTCGAGTAGCCAGGGCGCCGGGGAGTTCGGGAGTCAGGGGGCCGAGGGATCGGGGAGTCGGGGAGTCGAGAGGTCGGGGACTCGCGGAATCGAAGAGTCAGGGAGACAGGAAATCGGAAGGTCGAGAAGTCGGCCAGTCGGCCAGTCAGGCAGTCGACCAGTCGGCCAGACAAGGAGTCGGCCAGTCGGAGCGTCGGGAAGACGGGGAGTCGGGGAGTAAAGGAGTCAGGGAGTCGGCAAATTAGGAGGTCGGAGAGTCAGCCAGTTGGGGAATCGGCAAGTCAGCCTGTCAAGAAGTCGGCCAGTCGGGAAGTCGGAGAGTCGGCCAGTCGGCCCGGCAACCAGTCGGCCAGTCGGAAGTCAGGGAGTCGGCCATTCGGCCAGTTGGCCAGTCGGGAAGTCGGCTACTCGTCCAGTCGGCTAGTCAGCCACTCGGGGAGTCTGCAAGTCAGGAATTTGGCCAATCAGCCAGTCGCGGGGTCGGCAATCGGCCGGCGGGCCAGTCGGCTAGTCGAGGAGTCGGGAGACGGGCAGTCGGCCAATCGGCCAGTCGGCCAGTCGGCCAGTTGGGGAGCCGGGAAGTCAGGGAATCGCAAAGTCGGCCAGTCGGCCAGTCGGGGAGTCGGCTAGTCGGAGAAAAGAAGAAGTCGCGGAGTCGGAGTCGGATAGTCAGGGAGTCGGGAATCAGAGAGTGGACAGTCTCCCAGCCGGGCAGTCGGGGAGTCGGCCGGTCGAGGAGTAGGCCAATCGGGGAGTCGGGGGGGCGGGAATCGGAAAGTCGGCGAGTCGAGCCAGGGAGTCGGCCAGTCGGGTGGTCGGGGAGTCGAGGGGTCAGGGGGTCGGGGAGTCGGGGAGTCGGGGAGCCCGGGAGTCGGCCAGTCGGGGAGTCGACCAGTCGAGTGGCCGACACCCCGACTCGAAATTCGCCGGTCGGCGAGTCGGGAGTCCGGGAGTCCAGTAATCGGTGAGTTGGTGAGTCGGCCAGTCGGGGAGTCGGAGAGTCGGGGAGTCGGGGAGTCGGGGAGTCGGGGAGTCGGTGTCGGGGAGTCGGGGAGTGGGGTAGTCGGGGAGTTGGGGAGTCGGGGAGACGGGAAGTCGGGGAGTCGGGGACTCGGGGACTCGGGGACTCGGGGGGTCGGAGAGTCGGGGAATCGGAGAGTCGGGGAGTCGGCCAGTCGGCCAGTCGGCCAGTCGGCCAGTCGGCCAGTCGGGGAGGCGGGGGATCGGGGAGTCGGCCAGTTGGGGAGTCGGCCAGTCGGGGAGACGGGGAGTCCGAGGGTCAGGGAGTAGGGGAGCTGGGAAGTCGGCCGGTCGGGGAGTCGGCCAGTCGGGGAGTTGGCCAGTCGGGGAGTCGGCCAGTCGGGGAGTCGGGGGGTCGGGGAGTCGGGGGGTCAGGGAGTCTGGTAGTCGGGGAGTCGGAGAGTCGGGGAGTCGGCCAGTCCGGGAGTCAAGGAGTCGGCCAGTCGGGTGATCGGCGAGTCGGTAAGTCGGCGAGTCGGGAAGTCGGCCAGTCGGAGAGTCGGCCAGTCGGGGAGTCGACCCGTCGGAAGGTCGGGGAGTCGGCCGGCGAGTCGTGGAGTCGGGGAGCCGGGGGGGTCGGGGAGTCGGCCAGTCGGCCAGTCGGGGGGTCGGCCAGTCTGCCAGTCGGGGTGTCGGCAAGTCGGAGAGTCGGCCAGTCGGGGAGTCGGCCGCTCGGGGAGTCGCGGAGGCGGCCAGTGGGGGAGTCGGCGAGTCGGGGAGTCGGGGGGTCGGCCAGTAGGGGAGTCCGGCATCCAAAAGTTGTCCAAATGCCCTGGTGGGGCGACGAACGTCGGCCAGGATGGTGTTTCCATAGCCTCTCATGTGGTGTCACCTGAAGGCTCATATCAAGCGCTCGCTGATTTCTGGGCTCCCGTGTTCGAGAAGTCCATGCCTCTCCCGTCGTGGGTTGAGCATCACGTTGAGCGGTTTTGTCCTCCAGGCCTGGACTTCTCGAGCCTGCGCCCTCCTCAACTTCGGGATCTGCGGAGGTTCCTCGCAATAGCCCCCGCTAGCGCTCCTGGGCCAGATGGCCTTCACTTTCATGCCTGGAGGGTTGGTCCCGGGCCCGGGATATTTCACAGTTGTCTCTCCTGGGTTCTCCAAGGCCTCCCGATGTCTCTTTGGTTTTTTATCTTTTTGTTTTTCCCTAAACCATGCCGGGGTAAGGGGGACCCCAGCTCTGGAGGAGTTCGGAGGAGCGCACAAGACACACGCCCATCGGGTCTCAAGAATACGTGCAACAAGGTGTTCGCTGCGACGTTAAACGGATG